CATACACACCACCTTAGTTGAGTGGCATAAGAAGAAGAAGAAGAATTGTATGACTCGTAAGAGTGAATGTGGATGAAGGTTGTACCAAGAAGAATTTCTTACATCCATGCCACCTTAATTGGGTTGCCTAAGAAGAAAGAAAGAAGTTGTACAGTCCGCAAGAGTGCATGTAGATGAGGACTGTACTCACTCACACGGCCAAGGCTCCAAATCCATGCATCAACCGAGTCCGATCGGCAAAGAATAAGAAAAGAAAGAATGAGAAAAAGAAAGAATAAGAATAAGAAAGAATGAGAAGGCTTGAACAAGAAAAGAAAAGAAAAAACAAGAAAGAAAAGAGAAGCTTGAGCAAGGAAGACAAGAAAGAAAAGAAAAGAAAAGAAATAGAAAGAAGAAAGAAAATGCATTTTTATGCATTATTGCACATGCATTCCATTCATGCATATTACCGTGTATCCCATCATGGTTAGAAAGAATAGAAAGAATAGAAAGAAAGAACAGAGAGAAGGGAAGAACAACGAGAATTAGGAAGAAAGAAAGAACAATAAGAGTTAGAAATAGAGAAAGAAAGGAGAAAGAGCTAAGAATGAAAGAAAGAAGAAAAGAATCAAAGAAGGAGACGAGTTAAGGGATTTACTTACTTAGCATTTTTATGCTCACCCTGTTGTTTTTCCATGTTTTTGCAGGAACTAGGTGAGCAGCGGTCCGAAGGGAGTCGTCAAGTAGAGAGAATTGGCATTACTATCCACCGTTACTAAGTTTTTGTACTTGTTATTTTAGTATATGTAAAGAATTATATTTTATAAGTAAAGAAAAATTTGGGCCCAACTATTTTCATATGCTAAGTATGTATAATTTTATTGTATATATTCTAAAGTATACTAGTAGAAAGAAGTCATTATAGTAATCCACACGAAGATAACCCAAATAGCTAAAGAAAGATTTGCTAGATCCTCTTTAGCTTCAAGAACCAAATCAAGAATCAAGAAATTTTGATTCAATGAAACAAAGGTCGCATGAGACTTTGGAGAGGGCTGTGTGTATTCTTTTCTTTCAAGTGAAAAGTGATTGAATGAATTCACATCTATTTTATTCATAGAACATTGCACTTATATTGTAATACCCAAGATGTCAAAGGTATGTTCCTAACTCAAAATAGTCCTTTAGATATTAATTTTATGTTAAAAAGCATAAAATCTAACTAAGGGCAAAATAGTCAATTCATCTGGAATGGTATCCATAGAAAGGTATTAGGGGAAAAATAGTCATTTTGCCTATGGATAAGCATTGGAAAAGTCAAGGATGAGTAGGCTTAATTGCATTTAATAGCATTAATTAAGTAATAATTATGTTTAGTGTGAAATTACCAAAATGCCCTTACATGAAGAATTAAGGACTTATGAGTTATACAATAAAAATAACTGGGCCAATAGTATAATTTTGGAAGATAAATGAAATATTTTCCTATAAATGAGAGGAAATTCGTTCAAGCCAAGGGAGAGAGCATTTCTTCAACCTTTCTTCCATTTTCTCTCGAATCTTCTATGAAACAAGCTTTCTTTCTCTAAGTTTTATAGGAGTTTTGCATAATTTTTCAAGGAGAACAAGATAGGAGCCTTGGATCTTCAAGTTAAAGGGTTTAAGGTAAGGATTAAAAACCCTAGTTTTGATGTGATTTGAAGATTTGAAGTAGATGTTGAGGTATAATGTTATATATGTAGGATTAAGGTGTAAAAGAAGACAAAGACAAAGGATTTGTTGGAGGAATTCTTTAAAAAGGTAAGGAAGAACCTCCCATGACTTTAGGGATTATGTTAGGGTTTGTAGATTTTAATGAAACCTTAAATCAAGGCTTTAAGGCATAGAATTGATTGATGGCAAGTATAGTTGAATTCATTAATGTTATTTATTGCCTTGAATTCATTATACATGAAGTTATTGCCATTTATGTTTTAAGAGTTGTTATGTTTTAATTGAATAAAATGAAGTATTGATGTTGATTGTGGCAAAACTTGTAGTATTGGAGGCGACATGGTGTTGAATGTTTGCTATTAGAAGTGTTGATGTGTTGCTTGCATTAGCTTACAATGTTATAACAATAATGGATGATTATGGGAATGAGATTTTACACTTCCTTTAAGATGTTAAAGAATATTAAGGGGAGGTTTATTTGATTCATAAGTTGACCTATTGGTTAATTGTCAATAGGAATTGATGTGGCGTAGTTTAATATGAGAAAAATTCGGATTTGGTAAGCTTAGTGGTTATGTTAAACATGCTTTAGTATTTCGACCATAACTTGAGTTATAAAAATCAAAATGAGATGATTCTTGAAGCACTAGAAATTTAAGAGATAGCCCTAGAAATTTTATGTTTATGCCAAGAGCCAATTCGTTTTAGAAATGGATGGAAAAGGGCCAAAAGTATAAACTTCTGGTTATTAAAGTTTAAGATTTAACATAATTAATTCTTATGATTATGAATTGATTATATATTGACGTGATTAAGCCATGTACTAATGTTTACCCATTAGTTAGATGGTTTTTGAAAGATATACATGGTCATGATGTCAATGCATGATTAATGTTATGAAATGGCATGAAGATGCAATGTAATACTTGTTTTAAGATGATGAATGTGAGCAAGAGGTAATGTAAATGGATTGATAATCCATAGATGAATTAAAAGTATTATGCTCACTAAAATATGTATTTACATGCCATAAGATGTTAGAGATGCATATAGACATGATGGAAAACATGTAAGCATAGCCTCGTATACTGGTTGAGGAAAGATGAATATAAGCTTTAGATGCTAAATAATGCGTAAGTACGCCTCTCCATGATATGAGCTCTAGATGAATTTGAGGCTAAATGAGAGAAAATATGAATATATGCTTTAGATGCTAATTAATGTGTAAGCATATCCTCATATTCTGGTTGAGGAATGATGAACATATGCTTTAGATGCTAAATAACGCGTAAGCACACCTCCCGATGATATGAGCTCCAGATGAATTTGAGGCTGGATGATATGAAGATATGAAGTGCTTAAGATGCTAAGAAAAGTCCGATCAGCCAGACGTTAGATGGTTCATATGCATTTAGTTGCATTACATGAGTTATGATGTTATTTACATTATGAGAAGATTTATACTCATGTTAGATGATTTTCGATATTAGATCATGACATGTGATGTATGTGTACTATGTTTACATACTTATTTGTATGTGTACACATTGATGTTTATATAGCCATGGGATTAAATGATGAAAAACATATGAATTAGTAAGAAAAAGGAAGCATACCTAGATGTAAAAGATAAGTGGTGTGTTAACAAATATGTTTAAATGAGGGTCAAAAAGCACATTTAGAATGAAATGGATCATTCCTTACTAAGCGATTAGCCTTTCATTGTTGATTGCTTTGCAGGTAGACCAGAAGTAAAGGATGCTATAGACAGTGGGCCTACACGTGAGGGGAGATGATTTATTGTCATCTTGATGTTTTTATCTTGATGTAAATAATGTAAATGATAAATGTTTGTGAAACACCTTTGGAAGCTTCCACCCTATAAATATGTTTTGATTGTGTAATTTTTGGATAAATTCTTAAAGTTTTCTGAAATTATAAGTTTGGATCTTGCGTGACATCTTATATGCATGTTTTGGATATTATTATTATTATCCTTACACAGGTTTTTTCTAAATACAACTCGTTCTCCAGACATGTATCCCCGGGATTCTCATTGAGGGATATTCAGGGGGTACCTGACTGGAGGGGGGATTTACATTTGGTATCAGAGCAAGTATTTTGTTACTTTAAAAAGGGGTGTTTTAAGATGTTTTCTATTATGGAGTCATGCATTTATGAGAGTTGATGACAATATCCCTCATGTAAATTTCCGATGCTCTAGTTATCCAATCGCTGTAAGTATGTTTACCTGATTTTATGTAAGGATTGATTTAGAAGATTAACGTTATATGTGTAACTGTGATAGGGAATAAATATAAGGAAAACCAAGAGAACGGATCCAAGTCGTAGTGATGCTTCGAATGCACAAGATGTTCTAATTGCATCTGAAGCTCCTAACCCAAGAGTTGTTACTTCAAGCACTCCAGGTTTAGATGTTGCAACATTCCAGCGTATGATCTAGGTGACTGTTAATAAAGCTTTAAGGAGAACCCTGCCAGAAAGTACAAGTACTCCGGTGATAACAGTGATGACCAATATGGTACCAAGTCAAGCAATAGGGACGAGTACCCCAAAAGCAATGGTTCTCCCAAAGCAAATTCAACCGATTTACGGCATCTGAAGTAAACATCAGCCTCCAGAATTTAGTAGCACTAATGATCCTGTAGTAGTAGAATAATGGATCAAGTTTGTGGAGAAAGCTACTACTCTATTTCCTATGACAGATCAAGAGAACATCCGGTATGCTATGTACCTATTGAGAGGAGATGCTACGACAGGGTGGGAGCTTATGGAGTAGACTCAAGATACCACCACTCTCACTTGGTCAGGGTTCAAGGAATTGTTTGAGGAGTAGTACCGGATGACGGACATGATATCCTCTAAAATACAAGAGTTTATTAGTCTACAACAAGGAAATATGACGATCAAAGAGTATTCAATCAACTTCAACTCCTTGGCTAAGTTTGCACCCACACTGGTCAGTTATTATTCCATGATACTTCCTTGTATGCCTTGATTGATTCTGGTACTGCTCATTCCTTCATCTTCTATGGTATGATTAAGAGATTAGGGTTAATGCCTATTAGAGTAGAACAAGCCATTAGGATTGAATTGCCTGATGGTAAGGGTGTAGTGACCAATAAAGTCTTAATGTTGGAGTTAGTGACTATTAGAGATCGAGATATGATGATAGATTTGATTGTCTTCAATATGCCAGACTTTGACATCATTCTCAGGATGGATTTTCTTAGTAGATATGGAACAGAGATAGATTGTCGCAGGAAAAAGTAAAGTTTAACTAGACCATGGGGATAGCTTCATTTTTGGAGAAGGGCTTTGTCAGGCCGAGTCATTCCCCATGGGGTGCTCCAATTCTATTTGTGAAAAAGAAGGATAGGTCTATGAGGATGTGTATAGATTACCGTGAACTGAATAAAGTAACGGTAAAGAATAAGTACTCATTGCCTAGGATAAATGATTTGTTCAATCAACTGAAACGTGCATTAGTGTTTTCTGAAATTGATCTAAGGTCAGGATACCATCAGGTTAGAGTGGCTAAGGAAGATATACCGAAAACGGCTTTTCGTAAAGTATGGGCATTATGAATTTGTTGTGATGCCATTCGGATTGACTAATGCACCTGCAATTTTTATAGACTTGATGAACAAAGTTTTTCATGATGTCCTTGACAAGTTCATAGTGGTGTTTATTAATGATATCCTAGTTTATTCCAAGACTTTAGAAGAACATGCCGAGCACTTGAGATTTGTGTTACAAAGATTAAGAGAGAAACAATTGTATGCCAAATTTTCAAAATGCGAGTTTTGGTTGGATCAGGTTACCTTTTTGGGTCATGTGATCTCAAGAGACGGTGTATTAGTGGATCCTAGTAAAGTAGAGGTGGTGCTCGAGTAGTAGAGGCCAAAGACAGTGAAAAAGGTTAGAAGTTTTCTAGGCTTAGCAGGGTACTATAGGAAGTTCGTGGAAGGCTTTGCAAAGACAGCCAGACCACTTATAACTCTCACCAAGAAATAAGTACCATTTGAATGGACAGAGGTATGTGAGCAAAGCTTTCAGAAGTTGAAGAAAAGATTAACTACAACTCTAATTCTTACATTGCTAGAAGTAGGCATTGATTATGATATTTATGTTGATGCCTCCCATAATGGTTTAGGAGTAGTACTGATGCAGCAAGGAAAAGTCATTGCATATGCCTCTAGACAATTGAAGGACTATGAGAGTAGATATCCTACCCATGACTTGGAATTAGCAGTAGTGGTTTTTGCTTTGAAGATATGGCGACACTACTTGTATGGAGTGAAATGCAACATATACATTGACCATAAGAGTTTGAAGTATTTCTTCACCCAGAAAGAGTTGAATATGAGACAGAAGAGATGGTTAGAATTGGTGACAGACTACGACTATGACATAAGATACCCTCCAGGGAAAGCTAATGCACTAGCAGATGCCCTTAGTAAAAAAGTCTCTTTATCTCAGATTACTGTACAGGGACAATTACAGCAGGAGATCCTCCAAGAAGGAATTGAAATTGTGATCAAATGAGGATTGACCCAAATGGAGATCAAACCCACTTTGGTGGAAGAGATCAAGATGAAACAGGGTAAAGATTATACTTGGAAGGTGATCTACCAATGGATAATAGAGGGTAAAGAGATAGACTTTAAAATAGTCAATGGGGCACTGATGTTTAGATATAGAATATGTGTACCTCAAGATGATGAACTAAGGAATAAAATCCTTAGTGAGGCACACAATACACTTTATACAGCCCACCCTAGGAGTGTAAAGATGTATCAAGATGTAAAGAAAAGCTATTAGTGGTCAGGTATGAAAAAAAAACATTGCCGATTATGTTGCTAGATGTTTAACATGTCAACAAGTAAAGGCAGAGCATCAGAGACCATCAGGATTACTCCAACCCTGAGAGATTCCTAAATGGAAATTGGAGGATATCTCAATGGATATCATAGTGGGACTTCCTAAAGTTCAGCAAGGATATAATGCAATCTGGGTGGTGGTTGATATATTGACCAAAACAGCTCATTTTCTACCTATGACTGATAAGATTGATGCATTTCGATTTGTGAGATTACATGGAGTACCCAAGAGGATTGCGTCAGGCAGAGATACTAGGTTCATATCAGCTTTCTGGGTTAGAATGTAGAAAGCATTGGGTACAAAGTTAGCTTTCAGTAAGGCTTATCATCCTCAAACTGATGGCCAAACTGAAAGGACTAACCAGGTGATTGAAGATATGCTTAGAGCTTGTTATATGGATCATAAGGCAAAATGGAGTGATATACTTCCACTAATAGAATTTGCCTATAACAACAACTACCAATCCACTATCCAAATAGCCCCATATGAAGCATTATATGGAAGAAGGTGCAGATCCCCTTTGTACTGGGATGATATTGGAGAAAAAGACTCCTTGATTCAAGCAATTGGACCAGAAATGACCCAGAAAATGATTGAAGATGTTAAGCTATTAGAGAAAGAATAAAGCAAGCCCAAGATCGACAAAAGAGCTATGCCGACCTAAAAAGAAAAGAAGTGGAATTCCAAGTCAGCGACAAAGTTTTTGTAAAAGTCGCACCTTATAAACATATTATGAGATCTGGAAAGAAGGGCAAGCTCGCTTCATGTTACATTGGACCCTTTGAAGTATTGGAAAGGGTAGGCAAAGTAGCTTACAGACTTGCACTGCCAATGAGCATGGAAAGAGTCCATAATGTTTTTCATGTCTCTTTGTTGCGTAAGTATATTAGTGATCCTTCACATGTGCTTCAGATGGAGAAAGTGGAATTATAGGATTATTTGGCTTATGAGGAACGCCTAGTTCAAATTCTTGACAGAAAGGTAAAAGAGCTCAGAAACATGCAAATTCCACTAGTTAAAGTGCTTAGGAAGAATCACAAGATAGAAGAAGCTACTAGGGAAATGGAGCAAGATATGAGAAGTCGATACTCAGAGTTGTTTCTATAATTTCGAGGATGAAATTATTGTAAGAGGGGAGGAAATGTAATACCCAATATGTGAAAGGTATGTTCCTAACTCAAAATAGTCCTTTAGATGTTAATTTTATGTTAAAAAACATAAAATCTAACTAAGGGCAAAATAGTCAATTCATTTAGAATGGTATCCATAGAAATGTATTAGGGGAAAAATAGTCATTTTGCCTATGGATAAGCATTGAAAAAGTCAAGGATGAGTAGGCTTAATTGCATTTAATGGCATTAATTAAGTAATAATTATGTTTAGTGCGAAATGACCAAAATGCCCTTATATGAAGAATTAAGGACTTATGAGTTATACAATTAAAATAATTGGGCCAATAGTATAATTTTTGAAAATAAATGAAATATTTTCTTATAAATGAGAGGAAATTCGTTCATCTATTTTCTTTTCTTCTCTATTTTCATAGGCTTCTATTTTATTTTCTTCTCTATTTTTATGGGCTTTTATTTTATTTTCTTGGCTAGTTAGACATGCAATAATAAAATAAACTCTTTAATCTATGCATAAATGCATAAAATTCAATGCACATAAAATGTCTGATGCATATGCAAATGATCATGTTTGTATTCCTTTTGAAAATTCTTTTCTAATTCTTTATGAAATTCTTTTCCTTTCTTTATGAAATTCTTTCTGTTTTCTATTTCTTATTCTATTTTTCTTTCTTTTTCTCTTTCCGTATTTTTGTAACACCCACATCAAGGTATGTAATTTTATTTATGACGCAATACCCTTAGTTGAATTTCTTTGAAGTTTATCTTAGACAACTATGAAGAAATTCTTTAAAACTTCATTAGGGGTAAAATGGTCTTTTCAATCATAATAAGATGAAAAAGTGGGGAGTGAAAGGAAGCAAAATAATGTGAAGAAGATAATAGAAATGAGGGTAATTAGGTAAATGACTAAAGGACATAGATGAAATTTCTTAGAAAGTGCAAGGGCAAAATGGGAATATATATATTATTAGTTATAAGGCTTTCAATAGACAAAACCCTAGCCATTCTCATCCCTTGAACACAACACCTCTCATCCATTTTCTCTCAAGCTTCTTCATCAAATTTCAAAGAGAATTCATAGGGTTTAGCTTAAATTTTTGTAGATTTTCAATCCTAAAGCATCCCAAGGTAAGATTCTAGCACAAAGGTGTATAATTAAACTTTAAAGTTCTAAATTCTTTTGGTTTTATATGATTTAGGTCCAAGAGGAAGAGAATTTTAGCAAAGGGTGGTTATATCACTAGTGTTGTACAAATTCAAGGTAAGTAAATCCAATTTTAGTTTTGATTTGAGCAATAATTGTGTAGATTGATTCTTGTGTGTTTGTATGTGATGTATGGTGGGAATTATTGGTTGTTTTAATGTTTGAATGATGTGTAAAAGTCCAGCCATGAAGAGTAGTTCATGTGTATGTGATGTTTTGGTGGAATTATGGATGAAATATGGAAGAGTTGTTGATGGAATTTTGAAGTGTTGAATCCGGCTAGGTTTGAAGTTAACTTTTGGTGACTTTTTGCTCCAATTTTGGTGCATTTGGAGAGATGTAGAAGTGTGGTCAACCAAGTATTTTTATGTGCATGTGAATTGTTTGATGAAAATTCAAAGAGAAATGCATGCATGAGTTTGTTAAATCTTATTGAAGAAATTGTTTGAGAAAGGAAAGAATTGGAGTTGAAATGTTATGTTAGGCTTAACCAAGTGTAAGTTTTAGTATTCAAGAGTGCATTTTGCTATGCCAAAATTTAAAATATCACTTGGTCATGTTAGTTCAATGAGATAAATGGCTTTTAGTGCATGGTTCAAGTTACTTTAACCTTTAGTATTTCTTTGAATATTTAGTTATTGAATTAGAAATTGTGAAATTTATGACTTTAGGAAAGTGTTGAAGGGATTTGTATGTTAAATTGTTACTTTGATATGGCATTGTTGATGGTAGAGAAGGTTATGACATATCAATATGCCATAATAAATTCTCAAGTTTGTGTACTTGAATTTTGAACGAACATCAAAGAATGGGCTTGGCCATACATATATTGTGCATATCATCTATATATACTTGATTTGGTAAGGAGAATGTTAGCAAAAAGTAAGAGAAAGAAAGAAAAGAAAATTGCTTTGTAGATTCATTTTTAAGCTAACATGTAAATATGTATATTTTCTTATTTATTAAAGAATATAATTGTAGAATTTCCATAACTTGGAAATATATTTAGAAATGTGTATAGAATCTTTTTTAAGAGATATAGAATGTTATGTTTAGAAGGTTGTTGCGATGGGGAAGTTGTGAGTGACAGAGATACAGAAAGTTCCTACATGCGCGCCGCCATCAGTGAGCAGCCTTAGAAGAGAAAAAAACAAAATTTGTACAGTCCGTTAGAAGTGCATGTGGATGAGGACTGTACCAAGAAAGAATTTCAGAATACACTCACACGGCTAGGGTTCCAAATCCACGCCTTAGCCTAGTCCGATTGGCAAAGTAGAATAGAATAAAGAAAAAGAAACAGAAACAGAAATAGAGTAAGAGACAGAAAATAGAAAAGAAAAATTGTT